CCTTGGCCTCTTCCTCTGAGAAGTTACGGGCTCTTGGGGAAAATTACGGTCTCAACTGTAACTTCCAAGTCTTGGTCGTAACTTCTCCCGACTCTCTACCCGTTTGTTCGAAAACATCCCAAAACTCGCTCGTTCGCACCCATTCACGTGCTAGGACCTGAAACATCATCAACCAACACAACCTAGCGTAAAATAGGCCACGAGAGTGAGAAAGCGAGCTCAAACGATCAAGAAATGAAGGGGAAAACATGTTCAAATATGGCGTTATCAAGCATATTATTACATAATTATCACAAAATTACAACATTTACATGCGGAATCTACCCAAAATATTATATTGGGCAAGGGTCCTGGATAGTGAAATAGTTTATATAATTTTTTTTTTGTAAAATACTAATGTACACTTTCTTCGCATGGCATTATTTTTAGTCAGTAGAAGTATATCTCCAATCTTCTCAGTGATCACTAGTTCGAGAATTGCATATCCATTCCCACACTGATGGTGCTGCATATCGGAGCATTGTTGGAGCATTGTTGGTAATCTTAACTACCTAGGAACTACTCGTCTTGACATCTCTTATGATGTTCAGCTAGTCAGTCAGTTCATAGTCGTTACATGTATCGATCATCTTGCTAATGTTCATCGCATTTCCGATATCTACAGGACATGCGATGTTGGTATACTTTTCGGACTTTGCGGGTTATATAGATACTCGTCGGTCTACCTTTGGTTGGTGTGCTCAGTTTGGGAATGCTTTTATATTCTGGCATTGTAAAAATCATGACAAGGTTTCTGTTGTAACTGGATAGCTCCATTAGTACGATATTGTCCGCTTTGGACCGAGGTCGTACGGTTTTATCTTTGGGTATCCTCCCCAAAAGGCCTCGTACTAATGAGTTTGGTGGACACAAATATACAAGGGTTCTTTTCCTTGTATTACCGATGTGGTACTTGGATTGTCCCATAACAATCCTCCCCTCATGACAAGGACCACGAATTTTGTGTCCTCTCCTCAGTGATTATCTTGATCTGCCTGACACCTTGTATAGATGGCCTTCTTGTAACAAGGATTTTTCCAGACACGGAACTCTCTTTGATCCGCCAAACAAACGTGACTCTCTCCTAGATACACCAAATAAACATACGCATATCTCAAATCCTAAGGTCCATCAAATGAGGGTCCACCGAACTGACCTCCACCGCCCCGCCATCGAACAAGAACCAAGCTCTGATACTACTTGTAAACAAATAAAAACAACCAATGCTGCAGTCGTCGCAAAACTTTATTACAATAAAACAAAACCCAAGTTTTGCAAAAGTTTGAGTTATTTCCTGCGAAGATTCCAATGCCAATTCCCTTGAACTACATCGTCAACCAGACTCTAATACCACTTGTTGTAACCAGATAGCTCCATTAGTACGATATTGTCCGCTTTGGACCAAACCCACACGGTTTTACCTTTGGGTATCCTCTCTAAAAGGCTTCATACTAATGAGCTTGGTGGACACTAATATACAAGGGTTCATTCCCTTGTATTACCGATGTGGTACTTGAATTGTCCCATAACAGTTTCCAAATCATCTGTAGAAGTAGAATATCGATCTATGTCTAAGGTATCATCCGAACTTGTCTGGCTACAACGTTTACTGACTGATCTGGGTATGGTGTGTCTACTTTCGATAGATCTACACATCGACAACACGATTGTCATTCGTATTTCTTTTAATCTCTGATCACCTGTTTGGGAATGATGTATTTGAAAATATACCTTAATAAAATAACATGATTTTATTTTGTCAATATACACTTGTATATCCAAAACTTTCACGTTTGTGCCAATAATAGCCAAATTTGGAAAATACCACTTATAGCCCGAATTTTGACAGTTTCGTGACAAATATAGTCATTTCCGTTACAAAATTTAATGGTGTTAGAGTTTCTGTCAGTTAGGTTAACATTATGCTGAATAGGATGCCACTTCAACGAACACGTCAGCGACAAACTCGACCAAACTTACCACATACACACCATCATAATTTAATTTTGAAAAACAATTTTCTTATGTCATAATCTCCAAAGGTTTGAAAAAAAATACAAAAAAAAACCTCAAAAATCGAGGACCATGCCGAATTTCATCTACATGACCATTGATGAACTTCGGCTTCTCGACCGTTCTTCCCCTGCTCTTTCGCTTTAGCTTCTTATGCTTCGGTGAAGGATTTTTTCGCCAATCATCATCGTCGTTCTGCCCAGGCCATTAACTAAAGAAGAATCTCTTTTGGTTTTTCTCTCCCTCCACTCCTTCCAATCGACAGTCTCATGTCCCATTTGATCGTCCCTGGGTGTGGATCCAGATTGGGAAAATCCCCATCATCGCAGCAGACCTCCAATTGATAATCCCCATCCTCGCAACAACTCTCCAATTGGAAATCCCCATCATCACACCTAGAAACCTAAACTCATATGCCGATGTTCGATGCCATTCTTGTCAATCTGAAACTCCCAATGACCATCAAACTCATGTTATTGGCGGCGTCTGAAGCAAACCCTCAACCGCGTTTAGTTGAGGAGAATATTCAAACCACAAAAACATATATGGACTCCGATTGGGCGCCGACGATATGGAATCGACGATTTCCCGGGATAGACGACATCGGGTTAATGGGTGATGACCGTAAACAGTAACAACGATGACGACGACGGTAGCACTGACGGAAATGCCTCCTCTGGGTTAGAATGTCAATTTTTGTTTACACTCTGTTTCCGAAGGAAAGGAGGAAAAGGAGGAAAGGAGGGGAGGTGAAGGAAAATTAGGAAGGGAGGGGAGATTTGGAGGTGAAGGAAATTGGGAGAAAAATGTTGTTTTATTGAGGAAAGTGTGAAAGAAAGTGGGTATAGGAAAGTGTGATGAATCTGTTATTTTATTGGTTATTTAATAATAAAATAATTTAATTGTATGTTAATATTATACTTATGGATTGTGATTGAATTTGCACTTTCCTTCTAGACCGCACCAGAGATTGTACCAGAAAAATTAATGGAGGGTATTTTTTAAAAATCGTGATTTAACCACATCAATTATTTTATACTATTTAAAATCTAGTGTCGGTTTACACTCCAGTAGGAGGTTTTTTCTGCCTAACTGTCGATGGTATGGTTTTAACCAGTGTTAAGTCATTTGAGAAACCACTAATGAACCGCTGACTAATAAACAAAAATATCATAAATAAATGGAGACTATATAATAATTGATCAATCTTTCGTAATCATTGGACCGGACCATGCCGAATTGAGTATAATGCGATCCGGTTCTTAGACCCATGAATTTTATAATTAGTGAAGGAAAAATTGATCAAATTGACATATAGACCAAACCAAATGAGACCAAATACAATGATGGTCTGATCTTGATTCTAATACAGCTTTCACTAATGGTCCGCAATTCTCATGAGTTTCGTCCAATCTGAACAATACCGAACCGTTACACATCTCTAATACCAAATAAGCCAAATATAATATTTTTTTTTGCGTAAAATGGTAATTTACTAATTTAATAGTAGTAGAGTAATTTTATAAGTTTCATTAAATATCTATATATTTTTTAATAATGATAACTATCTTCTTCTAAAATTAAGGACAATTATCTTTCCTAAACATTAATACGTTCTAGCCAAACCTAATTACATGAGGGAAAAAACTGCTACAATAACTCGGTGGAAGAAAAAAATTGTAAAATAAAAAAATATAAGCAACCAAAACACCTTTCCTTCCTTTTCTCTCCAATTTGGAGGGATCAGCCGCACAGTGTTTTGGGTCCCTGATTTTCTTTGCTTTCTTACTATTCCCACTCTCAGAAACGGAGGAAAGTTCCTAGGTTCCATGAAAATTTTGGCTTTTGGGTGTGGATTACATGAAAAAGGATTAATTCCACAAATATTGCCTTTTTTAAAAAATTCACCACCAATATGGCGGTTTAAAAACTATTGACACATATATTTTTTTTTTTGTAGGGTTAAAGCGTCCCCGCTCGAGACTCAGGCGCTGGCAATTTTAGAGTTTTTTCTAACGGGTTAAAAGAACCAAAGCCTTAGACTAAAGTGTGGCCGCTCGAGACTCAGACGCTGACGCTATTTGCAATTTTCAAAATGGCGCCAACGCCTGAGACTCAGGCGTCCTCGCAGCCCCCTTATTTCCTTATCTTCTTCTCCGTCACTCACTCACCCCATACCGAGAGCAAACAACACAAAGCCTTCTCCCTTATCCCACCCCCACTTCTCGTTGTCCCCATCCCCACGCCCACCAGACCGCGACAGTAGCGCCAGGAAGAAGTCGGCCATGCCCCAGTCTCAGGCGACGCGCAGGATTCCCGATGAAGGCGCCGTGCCCCGAACCGCCTTCGTAAGAAGATCTGAGATTTGGAGAGATGTCGGACGAGGAGCAACTCGCCGTCCCCGGCAGAGGAAGGGGCAGAGGGAGGCAAGGTCAGCGTCGTGGCGGCGGAGGCCGCTACAGTGGTGAGTTTTTCGCTAGCGGTGGCCAGATTTGTCGCCGGGGGTGGTCGGAATCTCGCCGGCGGTGGGGAGTTTTTTTTATGTTCTGATTAATTTTTTTTTCTTCAGTTCCTAGGCTTATGGACAGTTATTCCATGAGACCACCACCATCGACAATTGATACAGCTCCGATGGATCCGGTACTTCTTTGGGGGCACGGTCACCATCGTATTGACGCAGTTTGGGCAAACGAGGTAAGTTTTGAAACTATTTCTATAGTTTTTTTATTAGCTGAACTGAACTGAAATTAGAATAGAATTAGAATTACGAATAGAATTAGAATAAGTTTAGATTAGATAGAATATAATTAAATTATGAATAGAATTAGAATAAGTTTAAATTATATATATAAATATTAGATGAACTGAATTTAGAAGTACGCATGAAATTGAATTAATATAAGTTTTATGCACTATAGGTTGGTGATCGACCTTACCACATTCGAGGTATGAGCAATTTAGTCAGATACCATCCACTTTACGAGCCGTATCTCGTCGATGCAGGCTTGTTTACGGTTCTGCCATTGGTCCCTTTTACCGGTGATTCGGGTTTGATCACTACGCTCGTAGAGCGTTGGCGACCCGAGACATCGACCTTTCACATGCCTTTCGGTGAGATGATGATCACTTTAGAGGACATTGCTACACTGACCGGTCTAGCAATCGACGGTGATGCCGTCGTAGTAGACATACCAGACCAGGACTTGAGGGATATGTGTCTTTGGCGGTTAGGACGGGCTCCTACTAATCTTGGCAGCAGCCCCATTAGGATTGCTTGGCTTAGGGAAACTTTCGATCAGCTACCGCATTCGGCATCACCAGAGACTACAGAGTAGTTTGCACGAGCTTATGCTCTGCCTCTGGTGGGAGGTGTTTTGTTCCCCAATCGGTCTGGAGGTTCAGTTCATCTGCAGTACCTACTTTTGGTTGATGATTGGCGCAGAGCGGGGAGGTTTGCCTGGGGAGCAGCTGTTCTATCCTACCTGTACCGTGAAATGGGTAGGTCGCCACTGCAGATGACTGCGTCTTCTACTCTAGGTGGAGACCTTGGTGGATGGTCCGCCTTGCTGATGCTCTGGGCGTGGGAGCGATTTCCTCATACAGCACTACTACATGTAGAGACGGGGGCGCAGATTACCGAGGACGCCCACCCACGAGCCCTTCGATGGCTTCCGGCCCATACCCGTCAGCATTGTGATCAGTTTTATCTGTACAAGCTGTGGTTTGACGAATGTACTACATTCATGGTTAGTATATAACATTTCGTTGATTAGAATAGTGTTCATTGATTTGTTTTAGATTTAGGAGTAATTTGGTGCACAATTTTTGTGTGCAGTGGAGTCCTTACTTTGATAGAGCCCAGGACTTCGCCGGTACTGTGATCCAGTCTGACACGTTTCGAGCAGTAGTTCCACTTATTTTCTTTTCATTGACGATGTGGCACCATCCTGATCGCATGCTCGGACAGTTTGGAATGATTCAGGACCCACCTCATCACCCACACCCACATCCCGCAGCTGAGATTAGGTTTTTCCTTCGCCAGGGCCAGCATGGGCCATCACGTGGCCAACAGTTTATACAGGCAGCCAGCGAGTCGATTGAGTTGTGGAACCGTCGATATGAGTTCATCGAGCGTACGAGGTACACTGACGTACCTTTAGCCTACCACTCGGAGCATCGAGAGTGGTATCAAAATGTCACTAGACGTTCGGGCACACTAAGAGCAGCTGCAATGAACGCAACGGTTAGTTTTTTATTAATCCATATTTGTGTTTTAATTGTTTTTAGATGTGTAGAATTTCTGATATTTTAAATTTAATTTTCAGTACGACAGCATGGAGTCCGCTGAGTTGGGTTTAGGTGATGGAATTCGAGATAGGGGGATGTCCATTGACCGGGTGGAGGAGTTGGCTGAAATTTTGGCAGCAGGGGTTACAGGTTTAGGTTTTAGTGAGCGTCGACATCCTGATCCTACAGCACCTATACAGCGGTATCCTGTTGACGAGCGCAACTTAGACATCTGGCCAGAGCATAGGGTTCAGCCATCGGAATGGGAAGTACCACCGCCACAGTTCTGCAGGAGCCCAGGAGGCAGAGACAGCGACGTGAGCAGCGCGACGTACCTCGTCCAGTGAGGTACTCAGATCGTCAGCCAATGCAGCTAGTCAGACCTACTCTGTCCTTCCAGTTACACCCGCCTTCTTAGCCACAGTTCAGCCGAGCGCGTTTGTCAGATTTCAGGCAGGCACCAGTTCGGGCCCACAGTTTTAGCCAAGCGCGTTTGCCGGATTTCATGCAGATATCAGTTCGGGCCCACAGTTTCAATCACCGGAAGATAGCTTTCATACACCGCAACATGCTGCGATGGGAGGCGGACACATGAGATCAAGTAGTGATATTGTACCAGATTTGGACCCAGATGAGTGGGAGCGCCTAGATGGTGATCAGGTTTTTCGGACATCGATGTGGGCTTATGAGGAGCAGCTTCGAGCGGGGGGATCTTGTGCACCAGATGAGCAGGTTCAGTCTCAGATGGATAACATGTATGGTACACTGGATCAAGATGATATAGTGGAGGGAGAAGAGCCCCGGCACGATGATGGTAGGCCTCCACGAATTAGGAGGGGAGCGAAGTGTGGTACTGGCGGCCATCTAGTGGCAGAGCATGGTGGTCGTCGTGGTGGTCGTTAGTGGGACTATTTATGTACTTCTTTGGGATATTTATTATTATGTACTTCTTTGAGACTTTTTATTATTATTATGTACTAATTTGGGACTATTTTTAATTTCATGTGGACTAATTCATGGTAGTGCAATTGTCTAAATGAAAACTTTAAATATAAAACCAACAAACAACAACTAGTTCATATCATAAAACTCCAAACAACAACTTCTGCAAGGCAAATCGAAAGAAAAACAACAACTGCTACATTATATCTCCGTTCGAACAAACTACATACCATGTTTATTACCTCTACTTCCTCTTCTACCACCTCTCGCACTTTGTTGGCCACCACTCCCTCTTCGGTTACTCTCACTCTCACTTTCTTGGCCACCACATGTTGATGCATTATGTCCCGCTTGGTTACAGTTGTCACACACTTGGTGTGATGCACCCTCCCTTGGCCAATCCATTTTGTTGTGAATTCTTGTTGATCTTGGCCTCCCCGGCTTCCTAATCATGTGCAGATTAGGATGGAGAGTAGGGTAATTATGCTTCTTCCAACCCTTAGGTTCACAAAGAGGTGTGAAACATGTTCCATAACAAGCCAACACTGTTGAAAGCTTGTAAACGTCGTTTACAAACCTATACGGATCAGCCCCCATTCGGTTGCAAGTTGTAATGGCATGAGAGCAAGGAATTTTATTTCCTTGAAATTTCCCACAAGTGCAAAATCCTGCCCGGTTGCGGTCGTCGAAGTGCACTGTGAGTGTGTTTGAACGCGTCATGTTGAAATTGTTGGGAGGAGTCTGAACTACATAGATGCCTTGACGTCGATCAATCGCTGTCACGGAATGTCCAACTTCCTTTTGTGACCACGGCTTCATCAGCTCTTCGCACTTGATGGAGTACTGTGAAGGACCACTTCTAATTTGTGCTCTTCTGTCTCCAACCTCATCTTATCGAATTTCTCCAACAATCGCCAATAAGTATGTTGCACAAGAGAAGCTATAGGAAGTGAACGAATATCTTTGAAAACACCATTGATGCTCTCTGCCATGTTGGATGCCATGATAGACCAACGACGCCCACCCTTGTAGTTATCATGTACTAAGCTCCAACGAATCTGATGTTGGTCCACCCAGTTATCACAAGAAATATTTCTATCAGCGACCACCTTCTTAAATTGTTCAACTTGATGATCGAATTGACGATCGAACTTCTCCAAACGTTTTTCACCGGCTAACAAAATAAACAACCACACGAGTTAGATAGATTCATGAAAAAATTACATTAAAATAAATAACAAACTTAAATGAAAAAGGCTTACCGACTCGAAATAGTTGCTTATACATAATCCTGCTTTAGTCTTCCTTTGCGAATTGCTTACATAGTGTCACATACACCACCTCCACTCCCAGCCTCTTGCGATGTTATTCATGGCTTCATAGAGTCCCGCATGTCTATCTGAAATGATGCATACATCATTTCAATCGGTCAAATCTTGAACGTGACTAATGAACCATTGCCAACTATCAGTATTCTCGCTCTCCACTATGGCAAATGCAATTGGAAAAATCTTATTCCGACCATCAAATGAGCTCGCCATGAGTAGCACGCCTTTATAATTTCCAGTAAGAAATGTTCCATCAACAACCATTACTCCTGGACAATTCTTGAATCCATCTATACAAGGTCCATAAGCCCATAATACTCGCTGAAATATCGAATGTCCTGGTTGAGCTGAAGGAACTCTTACCCAATCAATCACCGATGTTGGCATCTTTCTCTATACCACCCGCAAGAATGTTTGCAAATAGTCGTAGGATTCTTCCCAATTCCATGCAACTTCTCCAATGCTCTTTGTTTGCCATACCAAGCCTTTTTTGTAAGTAACTTGCATATTAAACTTATCTTTCATCTCGTCCTGCATAGTTAGAACACTCAGATTTGGTTGGGCACGTACCAAGTGTTTCACGAACTCAGATATAACGTCGACACCAAGATGGCGATGATCCGTCGGTTGAGTCGTACTGCTACAATAATGCACCAACTCGGGCTTTCTCACAATCAGTTCGCCTCCCACATCTCGACATCCAAACCGCACCATCCAAGGACAATTGTTATCCTTGTGATTCAAACATCTGATCTTCCAGATCGAAGGTGACGACTCCACCACATTATACTGAAAGTTGCGTTGTAGTGCGTAGTGTTTAATCGCCACCTGTGCAGCTTGTTTGGAGTGAAATATCTGCCCCTTGTAGAATTCTCCATCAAAACCAGTAACATTAGGCATTGGAATTACGCCATATGAATCAGCAACACATAATTCATCGTCCTCTTCATTACCTTGCAAGTAAAAATACGGAGGATAATTAGGTCGTTCTCCTTCCTCCTCCTCCTCCTCCTCCTCCTCCTCATCATCATCATCATCATCATCATCATCATCATCATCATCTTCCTCCTCTCCGTCATCACCGTCATCATAGTTATGATAGATGGCATGCTCCATGTGCCATTTTCTTCCTCTCTACCCCGATCCTCACTAAGCTCAACATGTATCTCAGCACCCAAATAATAAGCCTTTTGTGCCATAAAATTCCAAAGCACTTTCAAGCTATCATCATCCACAATAGGCATCGCATAGTGGAATAAAACACCATTCTGCCATTCTGGAAGACAGTAAGTGAAACCTGTAATCACAACACTATCTTGTACTGCTTCGTCTTTACGTCGTATTCTCCGAATTAGATTATCACACAGTTTCTCATAGTTCACCTTGGATGGAACAGTCAACTGAAAACTTCTACCACCAACGAAATGGACGCCCAAATTGTTCTCTACTTTCTCTGATTTCCACCGAACAGCTAGTTCAAATCTTCTAAAACCACTACATAAAAAACAAACTCGCTAATTACTAACTGAACAAAATCATTATAGCATTTGAAGAACACATTAAAAAATAAATACGTCTCTTACCTATTATTAGCCATCTTCCCAGCAACCAGACAACAACACCATAGCTTCTCTCGTAACTTCGTTGATTTTTTTAGTGGTGAAGAACCGAAGGAAAGGTGGAGTAGTATATATGGTGCTGGAGTGGAAGAGGGAGGCAACGACCACGCCTCAATCTCGGGCACCGGCGCTGAGACCATATAAACAGCGCCAACGCCCTAGTCTCGAGCGCCACCGCTGGCTTTTATTGAAAAATCAATAAGAAGCGGGCGCGCCTGAGTCTCGAGCTTTGTCGCTGTTAACCTACAATAAAAACACAATATATGTGTCAAATTCCCGCCCGGTTGCGGTCGTCGAAGTGCACTGTGAGTGTGTTTGACCCCGTCATATGTTGAAATTGTTGGGAGGAGTCTGAACTACATAGATGCCTTGACGTCGATCAATCGCTGACACGGAATGTCCAACTGCCTTTTGTCTCCACGGCTTCATCAGCTCCTTGCACTTGGTGGAATACTGTTGTGCACCACTTCTAATTTCTGCTCCCGTCTCCAACCTCATCTTATCGAATTTCTCCACCAATCGCCAATAGGTATGTTGCACAAGAGAAGCTATAGGAAGTGCACGAATACCTTTGAAAATACCATTGATGCTCTCTGCCATGTTGGATGTCAGGATAGACCAACGATGCCCACCATTGTAGTTATCATGTGCTAAACTCCAACTAATTTGATGTTGGTCGACCCAGTTATCACATGAAATATTTCTATCAGTGGCCACCTTCTTAAATTGCTCAACTTGACGATCGTACTTCTCCAAGCGTTTTTCTCCGGCTAACAAAATCAACAACCACACGGGTTAGATAAATTCATGACAAAATTACATGAAAATAAATAACAAAATTAAATGAAGAAGGCTTACCGACTCGAAATAGTTGCTTATACATAATTCTGCTTTTAGTCTTCCTTTGCAAATTGCTTGCATAGTGTCGCATGCACCACCTCCACTCCCAAACTCTTCCAATG